GGCTATTAATATGATAATATCGTAGTTATCAATAAGAAGCCTTCTGGCTCCTACCTGTGGATTTTTTGTTCTGTGAAATGGATTTTCCTTATGTTTCCCTGAAAACGATGCCTCGTGATTGAAATATTGCGGCATGGATCTTGCGCGGACTGATACAAAAGACATTTTTCTAAATATTGAAATATAAATCTGATCACATTCAAACCGGTTTATGAGTAAGCTTTCCGCCTCAGGGAGTGCATTTCATTCGTCCATTTTCTTTCAAGAGGATTTTCAAGATCACTCGCTCACTCTGACCAGCGGTAGCATGGATGCTTTCTTAGTTACTTCATATATGATAAATGTTTAGTCTCCTTCGCAGCAAATCACACAACGCTTACGAAACGTTACGAAGGAGACTACATGTGCATTTTTACGACTGAAGTGATTTTGAGCCAGATTATTCGAAGAGAGACGGCTGTTATATCCAGTTGGGGCCGGGCAGGGTAAGAGTGTAGGACCGACTAGCCCGCCCACCCGTTCCGCACGTTGTAACCCAGTAACTACTGGAATTGTTATGACGTTGTAACCAGTAAATTAATGCATTGTAATCAAGCTAAACACTATGACAATTCTTTAACTTAAAAAAACAATTGCTGGGATAGAAAACACTTGCACGGGTGACAAAACGCTTACACAGATCGAAAACAATTCTACTAATACAAACACTTTCACAAAGCACTATACATTTCCACAAATACGAAACACCGCTACAAATCAGAAAAAAAAAACTCGCACAACTTGAATAACGTATCGAACAGTTAACACGTGCAGAGTGCCTCTTGGCTTGGCTACTAAGGCTCTAAGGCCGGGATACTAAGGTCAGTTCGCACTTCGCGGGTCGAACAAACTTCGAACTTCAACTAGAAGGTGAGTACGTGTTCTATCGTATATTTTAATGCTGTTATTCAGTCTAATTTGCTAGTATTGCTCCCTTTCTAAGGTCTACATACATACAGTATCTGTATAGTATCCGTATCTGTACAGTTTAAATCATCACTCAACATTATCCTTGCGAAAATGCTCTAAACGGCCACAATGGTTGACAGGGAGCAATATGTAATAAACGACGGACGAAGGCTAAAACTGCGAAGGCATTTTATTAAACCAGATACGATCAGATAATCGTGGTTCTCCCACTCCTGGGCTACCGCGCCTAGCTTGGTAACCATCACTTGGCACTAGGTACCAGACCTACACTATCCCCTTCTTGAAAAGGACCATGTCCCCAAACAAAATGTCAGCAAAAAACTACATTGAAATTTAAGGACCTTCCGACAGGTCCTAAACTCGATGACAAACTAAAAGTCTAAATGATAGTCCTGCACCTAGGCGGGTGCGCGCCTTTCTCTTTGTGACCTTCGGGGTCCGGNCAGTTTTCGACAACAACACCCCACCAGGGGCTCTTGTGGACTCGAACAGCCCAGTTCTGCTGTCTCCATCCTTAGTCCGCATAGGAATCAGGACCTGATGTCTTGCAGGCAATTCTACTGTGCACCTGGCCACTACGGGAGAATAGTTCTCAACCAAAACATTACTGCATTTGCGATGATCAACTAGGGGTATTTTCCAATCATCTAACCACAGGGCACCACCTCGAATCCCCCAAGAACTCCTGTGATGACTCTCAATGAAATCTGCTCCTAGCACAGAGTCCCCGAGGTTATCGACTACGAGAAATTTTCACTGCGTTTGAACACCCCCCAGCTCCAACAGTACTTCTGCTTCCCCACGAACTGTAATGGGCTGATGTGTAATTGAAACAGGAGAGACTTTTGAATCCTTGACTGCCAACCCGGGAGTACTTGAAGATATCAGGCTCACCTCAGCACCAGTATCAACTAGGAATACTGACTTCTCTCCATTCACAATCCCCTCAGCATAATAACTCTTCCTACCTGCAGCCTTAACTTTGTGTACAGTGTTAACAGTAGGAGAACGGTATAGGTAGTTGGCCCCTTTACTTGCATTTAGGGCTGGAGACGGGATCCTCGGCCAGCCCCGCTCTCGTTTAAAGTTGGACAGCTACGGGTCCAGTGACCACGGCCATTGCAGGCTCCGCAGTCATCAGTAGGCTTTGGTCCAGGCCTCTGCCTACCGGTCCGTTTACCTCCTCCCGGTACCGCTGCGGACATAGGGCCTTGGGAGCTCCTGCTCTAGCTTCTGTTCCACTGCCCTACTAACAATTTCTTCAAAGTCACTGAGCTGATTGTTAGCACTTGAAGGATTGTCAACTCCACTTGTTTCACTCACAGAAGCCACCTTTGGCACTCCACCACTCTCCTCCTCCAGTGTGGCAATCCTTTTGACAACGGTTTCAACTGGAGTACGCAGAAGATCGTCTTGCCTGATCAATATTTCCCTTTGTTCCTTCTTGAGACCGTTAACAAATTGACATAACACATCCTCAGCCTTCCTTGCCTCATAATACTGAAGAGCGCCGATTTGTTCGTTGTGTTTCCTTTTCTGTACTGCAGATCGGCTTTCTGGTAGTTCATCGACTGTAGGGGGCGCATAGGCTCTGTGGTAGGCCATTTGCAGATCAGCCAGGTACGAATGAAGTGGTTCACCGTCTTTACGGATCCTGGAATTAAAATCTCTCTTGTATTTCAACAAGGCCAGTCCTCCCTCGTATCTCTGCTTCAAAGCCTTGAACAATTCGCAAAAACTCTTCTTCACACTCCCCAACTGTTGGTGATAAAAAGCTTTTGCATCGTCTTTCAAATACTCAGCCAAGTACTGGCCTGCTTTCTCGTCCGTCCACTCGTTAACTGTCACGTAGATCTCGAAGTCCCGTAGAAGTTCACGCACATCTTCTTGCCCTGAAAATTTCGCTTCAGGCAGAACTACTCGGTGCGTTCCCATATCGCTGCGACCAGTGTAATAAACGACGGACGAAGGCTAAAACTGCGAAGGCATTTTATTAAAGTAGATGCGATCGGATAATCGTGGCTCTCCCACTCCTGGGCTACCGCGCCTAGCTTGGTAACCATCACTTGGCACTAGGTACCAGACCTACAAATTCTAGCAAATTAGACTGAATAACAGCATTAAAATATACGATAGAACACGTACTCACCTTCCAGTTGAAGTTCGAAGTTTGCTCGACCCGCGAAGTGCGAACTGACCTTAGTATCCCGGCCTTAGGGCCTTAGTAGCCAAGGCAAGAGGCACTCTGCACGTGTGAACTGTTCGATAAGTTACTCAGGTTGTGCAAGTGTTTTGTGATTTGTGGGGGTGTTTCGTATTTGTGGAAATGTATAGTGATTTGTGAAAGTGTTTGTATTAGTAGAATTGTTTTCGATCTGTGCAAGTGTTTTGTGATTTGTGGAAGTGTTTTGCGATTTGTGGAAGTGTATTGTGATTTGTGGAAGTGTTTTGTGATTTGTGGAAGTGTATTGTGATTTGTGGAAGTGTTTTGCCCCTATGGAAGTGTTTTGTCCTTATGAGCCACCGTAGAGGGGTGATTGAGGAAGAAAAAAGCCGCGCTATTCGGCTCAATCGCTCAAATAATTATTTACTTGCGAGTTCGAATTCATCAACCCTCTAATCTCAGACGCTTAAACTGCAATTACCAGACCCTTTTGTTTTATTTCTAGTCAAACAATTTGGTTTAGGTCATTTTGAAGGTAAGTATCGTGCGGTTTAAAGGTATTTAACGTTTGTTCTTTTAGTTATGTACGGCGTCGTTCCATAAGAAAGTAAGTGAGTAAGAAACCTTTATTTAAACACGATAAGTAATTAAGCTTGCAGCTTCCATCATCTATCATTTGTTTTTAACCTCCCAAGCAAGTACAAGCAATCCATCACAATATTTCTAATCCAGCAATCGTGCATCTCTTTTAAATTTTAAAACGAGCGCCATTTATTTATGGGTTTCAAGTACCAGTATAAGCCATTCATTATAGCCATTCACAACAGGTTAAGTCGTGTGTCACGACAATCATCTCAGGTACAATCCAATGATAATTGGTCATTAATTTGCAAGCGACCACTGAATATAAACATTCCAAACAAAATATAATATGCAGGTTATATTTAGCGCGCATATATGTATAGTCACTACTCACTTATTCAACTCATTTCAATCCAGTAACTTGTGGGTTACAATCTATTCATTACGATCCAATAACTTGTGGGTTGTAATCATCTCTATACAATCCAATAATTTGTGGATTACAATCATGCTAATACAATCTAATAATTTTTGGGTTCCAATCATCCAATTACAATCCAATAATTTGTTGGCCAATCAATAATTTGAAGGTTACCATCATCTCATTACAATCCAATAATAACTATTTCTGGGTTAATATCAACTAATTACAATCCAATAATTTGTGGATTAGAATCAACTCATTACACCCCAACAGTTTCTAGGTTACAATCATTACATTCACAATCCAATAATTTGTGGGTTAAAATCATCTCATTACAATCCAATAATTTGCACGTTAAAATCATCTCATTACAATCCAATAATTTCGATCATCTTAATACAATCCAATAATCTGTAGTTATCAACTAATTACAATCCAAT